CCGGCTGGGTTGGATTGCCAGGGGGGGGGATTGGTTTGGTGGTTGGGATTTCCAGGGGTGGGGGATCGGGCTGGGCATGAATGTGGGCCGGGATGTGTTCCCAGCTGGGGTGGATTGCTGGGGTGGGGGATCGGTTCGGTGGTTGGGATTGCCAGGGGTGGGGGATCGGGCTGGACATGGATGGGGGTCGGCTTGCTGCTTGTGATCGCCGTAATATTCTATTTGGCAGTTGGAATTGATTCCCAAGCACAGGTTGCCGACAAGGGTCACCTCACCCACCAGTGTTCCTTTGTTCCATGGTGGATCAATGGATCATCTTGAATACTATTACGTTCAACCTAACAATTGCAGTCACCCAATAGATCTACTCATCAGTAGGGATACATTGCTGAGGCAGTGTTCGGCAGGAACATTCTTTGGGGCTTCAATTGCCATTGCCAAGACACTGCCAATTGCCGAGAGACATGTGAACATGGTAGTTTGCCTCCCGAGAAAGCCATTTCTGAAAGCCCTGACAGTCCTTCTCAATATTCCTCCAAAATGCTTATTGAACCAGAGCTCTCCTGCTGTGAAAGCCCATCCGGCACTACAGTTGGTAGTTGGATGTATCTCTCCCGCAGTCCTCATTGATTGCCAAAGCTAGATCAGCCAGCAGTAAGAACTCGTTACCGCACCCAGGTTGGTAGGGAATATAGTATATTACAATGTACTCTAATCAAGGTACTTTCTCTTGAGGCCGTCTACATGATCCCTCGCCTGTGTCCATGTGTTTGACGCTGTTGCCTCTGCCTGGAGCTTCGCAATCTTGGCGTAATACAGTTCCCAAGCAGCGTCCTTAAACTTGATCTTTGCCCAGTCAGCAAGGGCAGACACTTCTGTGTGCAATGCAACAATCTCGCACTCGGTTAAGGGCTGCCAGGTGTCAATTGTGGCAAAGTTGGTGGGGAGCGAGAATCACTAACTGGATCCAGTGGTATTTGGACGGTGCCGGCTGCCACCTTGGTGTAAGGGGTATCCTTGTAAGGCTTTTGCTACGGGGCATATTGTCAGATCTGGCATCGGATGATCATTGCCGTACTCACCCCAATTGGGCCTTGCTGATGTTCGAGGCCTGAGAGTATTGGTGTTTGTATTTCGAGCCAGGGAACAAGGAATTCAGGGAATACATAGGAGTCCTCACACTCACAGACTGTATAGCCCTCTTGAGCGGCTTGCTTGGGGACATTCGACATCGAAAAAATGCACAAAGAATGATGTGTCCAAATGTTGTAATGTCAGCAGAGCACATGCTAGTTTGGGCAGAGTCTGAACCTTCGTGTGTGGCGAAGAATGAAAAAATTTCAACTCTTCGTTTCCAACTCCCCATTCCCGTTCCCCCCACTTTGCTCCGGCATCCGACTTCAACAAACATAGCCATGCGCAATGTCGACGCCTGCCTCATTCGTACTACCCTTGCTACCCTTGAAGAAAAGCTTGACTCTGCATTTAAAAAAGGGCCGCCCTACACAGAACTGCTTGGGTTCTATGACGCAGTGGTACGTTTTTTGTTTCTTCATTTAACTTTTTTAGAAAAAAACTAAAATGTGGACTGACATCACCTCTTCCGCAGACCCTGAAGTCATGGAGGCCTGGCACATCTTGCGCGTCGGTGCCCTGATCAAGGAGATCCAAACCCACTACAAGGCGGGTCCAGAGGAGAAGCCTGCCATGTGGGCTGCCCTGCTGAAGAAGGCCGCGAGGAAGGGTTACCTAACTTCCGTCCCGACCACGGACAGCCCCCCCACCGGTCCCCATGGCCCAGCTTCAGCCCCCCCACCAGCTCATGCCCCTGCTACAGGTCTGACCCCAGAGCCTTGATGTGTCCCTCACACCCCAGCCCTACCCACTCCCCACAATGTCCCATATGTTCTGGTACCATGTTCGGACACGTTGGCAACCTCACGCCTGGCAATTGACACACTGTTGCCAAGGAACACGGCACCAAAACATCCAACCCTGAAACAAGCGGCACTGAAACAAGTGGCACTGAAGGCCGGCCATGGACTCCCGACACCGGCAGCGAAAGCCCCACACCCAGTCCCCCATGCCCTGCCCAAGCCTCCCCAGCAGCGCCTGAAGCAAGGGAAGGATGGGCCCCCCCCTCCCCCTATGGATATCAACAAGGTGCCCTGCAAGAGGTGCGTGAAGAGCAAGAAGACGTGCTACATCCGCATAGGGAAGGATGGGAGGGAGGGCGCTTGCTATGCCTGCAATGCTCAGAAGGTGTCATGCAACTTGGCGCTTAAGGGCAAGGGAAAAGTCCAGGAGCAACCTGGCGCACCTAGCAACAAGGCCACTCATAAGGGAAAGGGGAAGGTCGTCTCGCCTGCCTATGTTGAGGACACAGAGGAGGAGGACAAGGAGGAGGAGCAGGACAAGGAGGAGCAGGATGAGCAGGACGAGGACAAGGAGGATGAGGACGAGGTTGAAGTTGTTGAGGTAGCTCTGGTGTGCAACATTATCCCCCTGGACCCACAGCCAGCACTGCGTCGGCCGTCTGCACTGGCAGCGCGGTCCAGCGGTGACCAACGTAGGCCAGCACCACGACATTCAGCACCGAGGGCCGCAACACTGGGGCCCTCCAATGATCCACTCCTACGCACCGCCCTCTCCCCCATGCAATGCTGGGTCTCATCGGCCACCCCTCCGCCATCTGGTGGTGTCCAGCCCAACCAGGGCTGGTACCAACAAATGGTGGACTACATCGCAGAGGTGAACGCTCAGAACTGCGACGAGCAGGGTAGACTTGACGGCCTGATCAAAGGCCTCGGTAAACATGCGCACGGGGACGGAATCCGCGAAGACATGAATTGAAGGATCGCCAACCTGGAGCAATCGACAAGGGAAGGTTTTGCGAGGATCAGGGAGAGGCTGAAGGCAATCTGGGACCGTGCTGACGCGACGACACGCCACATCAACGACATGGAATGAAGGCTGACGGAACTCGAGGCCGTCCCCTTGGCACCCCCAATGGTGCCATCACCTCCCCACATTATCTTCGTTTCATCGGACTCAAGCCCCACCCCCGAAAGCGACGCATCACTTGCCGAGGTCTTGATGACCGAAGACGATGGGACCGACACCGAGGACGACGCTCACCCCAGTAGGGTTTCTTTTATTTTATTTTTAAGCACTACTTACATTTCATTTTCTAGCCACGGAACGCAAGCTGATGGATATCGACAAACAGCCTCAGGATGATGGGGACAAGACCAGAGTGTCTGACACCAAGGTCAAGGTTTCCGACGCGGAGGATGAGGTGCCAGGGGCCCCCCAATTGGCCACCCCTGGTTCAGCGCCAGCTGCACAGGTGGTAACCATTGTCGCAGAGTCGGACAACGTTAGCAAGGGGATTCGGGTGGAACAGCTTGAGGCCGAGGCCAATACTGACTCCGGCATCGTGGCAAAGAGCGTCGGCACCGAGGGCCACTACGGCACATAGCGGCACTACATTGTAGGGTAGTAGACCTGCCTGAGGACGTGAAATGTAGCCATCTCCTACCTAGGCTAAAGGGTCCGCTCATCTCCCAGCGGATGTCTACATGTAGTGGTGGTAAACGGGTGAGCAGACGTGATTAGGATCAGTATAGTGATAGGGTAATAGGATGAGCGGGCATGAGTAGGTCATTGAAAGGGTAGGGCTTCCAGGTCTTCTTTGCGGGAGGGGTGGCAGGGGTCAGTGGAGCAGAGGGTTTGATTGCCATTGCCACACTGCTGGATGGGTCAAGGGATCATTTGATCGGCGAGACACTGAAACTCAGGAGAGCCATGGCCTTGGTCGGCCAATCCATTGACCAGGGCTGAAATGATTCTTCCTGTAATCAACAACATCAGCATGGCAACTGACAAAATTTGAAGGCATGCTTTCACAACGGTGAGAATTGAATTCATGTCTCTGTCATTACAAGATGGATCATCTACTGAATGAAGGGCCAGTGCTCTTCCTCCTGGGCTATGCAGCTGCCAAGTGGAGCAAAGCCACCCGAAGCTGTGGCCGGATGTTGTAACTGGCACAGGCCCAAACGTGCTCAGTTGGCAATCGGCAACCCATGAAGGACCCAGGGCTGAGACGGAACGTCTCCACCAAGAACAGTAAAGTGTGCATCCACCGCAGCGAGACACTGTCTTACAAGATGTGACAATGTTCAGTCAAAGAAATATCGGCGGTCTGCTGACTGAGCTACAAGGCCTTAAAGTGGTGACCGGATGTTATTTTGGCAGCGCTGCCCGAACTTCCAGGCCAGCAATTGGCACAACCTTTGAGTTCCCAGCACCCCCGGTTCGGCAGTACAAAACCACAGAACCATCTCAATAGCCATGACGAGGCTCGAACTTGCATCAACAATGAATAAGGTGATTGTCAAATGATGACACCTTGGCACTCTACCAATTGAGCTACATGGTGTTCAGAGGTTTAAATCACTTGTTCTCATGTGGGTGATTAGCTTGGAGAATGGGAAACATAAATATTCACAAATGTCACACAATGGCCAGAGCAAGATTTGCCAATGTGACACGTGGAGTGAATTAGACAATGGGCGCTCTACCCCTTAAACTACATGGTATATGGGTGGGTGGGCTTAACTACTTTTGGCCATGTGGTGCTTGGCCATCAACTGTGGGGTGAAGGACAACTGACCATGTGGCTGAACAGTTAGAGCATCCCACTAACATGTACTTTGCCGGGTTACGTGAGTTCGACTCTCGACCATGGTCTTTCCGAGGAGGAGCATTAGTTTTGCAATATAACATTCACAATCATTAACGCAGCTGTGGCAATCTAATTTGCAGGAACATTTTGGCAACGCCCAGTGTCCAGCTACCAAGCCCTTGGAATGGGGTAACCCTGAAGGTCAGGGCGACACAGGTGAAGGACTTGAGTTCACCAACCCTGCCTGGCAATTGCAACATCATGTGACTGAAGGTTGAGGTTCTTTTATTGATTGAGTACTCAATAGCAACTGTCATGGCACCTGCATAGTGGTCGCTATTCCACCATTACACTTTGGCAGCGCAGGAGATGTTTGAGTATTACGAGTCGCGCCTCCGAGATCAAATCCACACCTATATGTTCCTGAACTCGGAATGAAATATGGAATTTGAAAACTGCATACTTGCAGAGTTGGTTAGGCTCTCCAGCATGTTCATCTTTGGAAAAGACTGATACTTCTTGCAGAACTTTGTTTATGCACACGCTGTTTTTATTGATAAATGGCCTGATAACCCTGGTGTTGCATTGCCTCAACTTGCACACAAGTTCATCCATGGATATGCAGCAGGTGATGCGTACACCGATGAGATTGTTATGCTGGTTGAAGGGCCACAAGCACCCCATACCCATCGGGTTTCATCCTACGCGCACAATTGGTGGATAGAGAACGCGGATCCGACGGCTAAGCTCCTTAGTCCTGTAACAGTGGAAGCGTGTCTCAATCACCACCAGGAGGTGCAGGCAGCTGGAGATGCAGCCATTGCTGTTATCATTTCTGATGACGAGTCCGAAGCCAAACATCACGACCCAGCAATCAGGGCAATAATCTCCGATGATTTGGCCGATGATTTGGACGCGGCTACCAAGGTGGTCATATACAATGACAAGTTGTCTGGCAAGGAAAGTGACCTGGCAAGCAGAGTAGTAGTTTTGGAAGCTGGTTCCGGTGATGAGGATGTGTCGGCAATGAGCATGTTCCGCTCAAATGGTGGATTCGGGGAAGTCCCGGCAATAATTTTGCTCACATCAGATGCGTGTAATTCTGGAGATGGAGCCAACCTATCAATCATCACCATCTCAGATGATGAGGCTGACGAAAGGTCGGAGGATCAAGGTATGGGCATCAACGTGCTCGTATCAGATGAGGAGCTGTCTGGTGATGAACGGGAATGTCCCTGCGAAGCCACAACGACCGTGGGCACCCTTCGTTTTAGTCACGGAAAGTCGAACACTGGTGCTGGCCACCAGATGGGCGTGAAGGCGAAGGTACCCCAGCAATACATGGAAATCGACAACGATGAAGACAACATGCCGACACGGATGTTGAGCTCACATTGGCCCCGTTCATTGCCGCGGTTCCTCCAAAGGGGCGCAATCCCCATAGACACATGTTGTTTGAGTCACAGAAAGGGGAAGGCTGTTGCTGGGGAGAAGTTCGGCGTTATGGCAAAGATGCCCCTGTGCTATGTTGAAATTGACGACGATGAGGAAGATACCATACCGACGATTACGACGCCGCACTCACATTGGCCCCGTCTGTTGCTGAAGTGACAATAATTGTACAGTGTGGTGGGATATTTGTACATATTGTCGAATGACTCATCAAGTTGAATAATGTTTATATTAAACTTTGTCCCCAACCCCCACAATGTTATCAAAAGGACTTGATGCCAACTACTTTCAAGAAGTTTTCTATTACTTTGAATCCCTGTTGTGGGCTCTCCTCCCGGCCATGGAGGCATCCGATAATGCTGGCAGGAAGCGGCAGTTCGAAGGCTATCTGGACTTAGAGCTGGTAAGTCATTGCTACAGCCCAAACTGAACAAGATTATTGACAATTGTTAGGAGGCACTAACAGCCCACGTAGGGCTTTGTGCGGCAAATTGATTGCCCTACACATTGCCGATGATCACCCATTCCCTGTTAATTGCCAGGGCCGAGAATCCACCCCGAATCTTTACTGCAGATGTAATTCGGGAATTGCAAGGAGCCCCGGACAACAACGACCCAACATGACTTGTATCCTCATACGCATTCACATGGTGGACCCGGAACCTGACAACAAAGAAAACACTTTTCAGCGGGACATCAGCATTGCAATGCCTTTGTCACCATCAGCAGGTCACTGGCATCATTCCCGTCCAGCCCTACATTCCCGGAAAGTGGTCACCAGCGGAGTCTCACTGGACAGAATGTGTGATGTTCTTGACCCAGATCAAGACCCTGAGGAGGGATCAGGCTACAATGACTTGCTTCCTGGCCCAAGTGGAGATGGCGAGTACAGCACATTGTCCTCCACGGGGAGTGTTGACCAAACAGCAATGGAGGCACCAACCATGTTTGACAAGCTTGGCAAAGATATTATTGACCCCCCTCCATACCGGCCATGGTATTCTCCAATACATTTCCGACACCCTCCACTTGGTGTACCAACATTTGAGGCCCCCACAGAACATGATGTCAGTTCCAAAATTAGCTGGGCACTGATGCACATGCCAATGCCATTGCCGGACACCAAGTGGTCCGACAACGGCAATGATTCAGATATCGGCATTCCTGGCAACGGGATAATTATTTCGGACGACGACACCAAAGGTGACAACAACGGCAACCCCAGCCTCATTATTTTGTCAGACAGTGAGGTGACTGATGATGATTCTGAATATATGGTAACTATATCTGATGAAGATGACATGCAGTAAATATGGACTTAATTGAATTAAGTAACATACTCGTAAGCGTGATATATCAGCTGGAACCAATGTTTGGCAATCTGTTGCATATCCGCCCACATGGCTTGTTTTTGGCAACTGTACACACGTTGGCCATATGTAGAGTCTGGGGTTATCTTCCCCCACCACATTTGAGATTTTGTCTTATAATACTGAGCCGTCCACTTCATCTTGTGCTTCAGCAGGGTGACCTCTTCCTCCCATCTTTGCTTCATAGCTCGGGCCCAGAGATAATGAACTCGCTGGACTGAAACACATAAGCTTTAAGCCAGAAATGCACTACTGCACAGACGCACACACTCGAAGGGATTCGGGGCTATCATTGGGATTCAGGCTATCTACAAGCCATATCCATGATAATTGTGTCGTGGTAGGTGGTGGCCTTTGCATGCATTGCAATCGCTTCCTGGTACTTGCGGCAAAGAAACCTGGCTTTGAATATGTTATTGAGTGCATATGGAGGACAACATCGGCACTGTGCTCATGCATATTTAAGATTTTTTTCCAGTTGATATCACTCATGTGATCATTGAGGATCTCCGCTCGATGGGCCAGTGTTGCTGTCCGTGCCTGTGAGGAGACCTTGTTGAGGGATGCCCATAAAGTTTCCAAAATCTCGCCAGCCATGATTGCAGCACCAGGGATGAATGAGGATGCAAAGCGTCAGAAACAATCATCCTTATGCCTGTGTACATGCATCAATCCTATGGCCTGATCAATGGTGAGATGCTCTGGGATATCCGGACCAAGGTGTTCGGCAAGATGGACAATGTATTGGCAGACGATGTCACACATGAAGAGAATGCGCCGGACTTCTCCAAAATTGCCATTTTGGAACAGCTCCCAAAGAATATAGTCTACGTTCTTCTGCTGTTCTCTGGCCGGCAGATCGGCAACACAAGTTGGAATAAAACACCCATGCTGGGCACATGCTAAGGCCACAATGCCCTTGACATCGCAGGCCTTGGATAGAAGCATGGCCTGTTCAAGCACTCGGAACTGATTCTCACATGGCGCCTTCTATTACACAGATATTCAGAAGATGCAGGGAACGCTCGGCATCAAGAAAGGCAACATACAGTTGGTTTGGAGTTTTGCTTCTCCTTCAAATATTTGAGATGCAGCAGAAGGGGGGTCATAAACTGACCCCCTTCACCCAACCAGATGTCAGGAATGCTTTCCTTGCCTGTTTTCGGAGGCAACTGCCGGACATGGTCAGCTTTGAAGTTGCCATCGGCAACCACCAAACGCATTAAGATATTCCTGGCAAAAAAAGTAAGATTTTACATGGCCGGTGTTTGGTCCATAACTGACTGATTGACTATGTCACGCCAGTTCTCCAGCAAATTTATTGTATGTTGCGGACATGCCAAGCAGAATAGCGCCAATTCTCCCGGTTCAGGTTCAAGCACACTTCGGCTGCAATCCTGTGCGAATCCACTCCAGATGAGCTTTTTGACGTAACACCAAGATCATGACAGCTGACGGAGTTCCCGGTAAAAATCATCTACATCGAGGGAACTCGTTGCCAGTGCACCTGCCCGGGATATTTTGCTCCAATATTGATATGCTGACGACTTGCATTCAAGATTCAATAACCGGAAGTCATCCAATACGGCTGTCGTGAAGAATGTCCAGAATCGACTGAAGCTTGTAGGGAGAAGGCCACTGGCAACGAGATCACCGGTAATGGCTGCTTCTCCCCGACAGCCGCACCACGTTAGGGGTGTATGATGTACACTGTTAACATGTACCACGTGGACATAGCTGTTATTCAAAGCATCAGATGTAGGGACTCGCTGGCGATCCTCGATCCCAGAACGTGGCAATGGGATAGGGGCGATGACTTCAGGGTCATCAGACTCCAGCTGGTCATCATCCTCGGCATCATCCATCGTGTCCGGATCCATCTCATGCATAGCCTCCTCACCAAGGGTAGTTGCCCTGCGAAATTGCTCCTCC